CAGGGTGCTCCGGTTTCCCCTGTTAGTCCAAAGACATGCGGTACAGGTGGATTGGAAAAGCCACATTGTCTGTAGTGTATGTGTGTAAATGAGTGTGTATGGATGTTTCCCAGTGATGGGTTGCAGCTGGAAGGGCATCCGCTGCGTAAAACATAAGCTGGAAAAGTTGGCAGTTCATTCCATTCCCCAGATTAATAAAGGGACTAAGCTGAATAGAAAATGAATGAAATATTCATTTTCAATAGGGGGTGTACTAAATGCTAAGTAATGTATGTACAGTGCTCGCCGCTCAGCATAACTGAGTACACCCCATTTTGAAAATGAATATTTTTATCCATTTCTCAGTGAACATAGGCAATGCATTTTAGTGCATTTAAACAAAACAGATTTATTATATTTATTAAAATATTATTTGTCACTAAACATATTTAGAACCTGAAAGATAATACAATTAAATCCAAGCAAAATTTTGCAAAAAATTACAACCTACAAAATTTGAACTAAATTATTATTTTTTTTGCTTCTCTTGATTTTTCTTCTTTTTCAAATTTGTATTTAATATTTTTTTATAACATATAAATTTGACTGTACTAGGTTTTGGACCATTATTGTAAGTTATTTTCTTGGATAAGCGTAGTCCTGACTAATCTAATGTATATGCACAAATATAATACTGTATAGCTTCATAATAAATTTAAATTTCAGTTTATGAAGGTGTAGCAAACTGATTCATCAGACTATATACTCTATATTAAGGTATTTTTTTTACTCTTAAGGTAATTAAGGTAATTAATTGTACAATGCTGTTTTTATACACTTTATTTTATAAATGGAATAAATACATTACATATAGAAATAAAGTGTAAAATACACAACAAATTTAACATGAATTATATAGACAATATTTCTGGCATTACTTCACTAAGGCCCTGCCTCCCTAGTTATAACATTTTACAACATCTTTGAAAAACTCCATAAACAATGTATGTAAACAAACGACCTAAACATGCATGACTTACATTTGAATTAACAAAACATGTCTGATAATGTGCTAGATGGAAACAGTTGCTAAGGCAAGATTGGATAATGTAACAATAATTACATTCTACCCAATTAGACAGCAAATTAATGAAGAATCTTTTTAAAGCAAATACCTACAAAGCATGCAGTGAATTGTGCTCTCAGCATTACCCACACTGTTGTCATTTCACTGCACTAGTTTTAGAAGCGAGACCTACTGTAGCTCACTGTGTTTACGTATACATGTATAGCTTGTGCATCCATGGAAACCCAATCTGCTTCACTGGCAGAGAGCAAACCACTTTCAGATATCTCTCTGGGCAACTACCAGCCTGATTGCAGATCTCAAGATTGGCCAATTTGCATATTCATAAAGCTTGAGTCCCAATTGGAGGGCTTTTAAAACATGCTGATTAGGCTGACTTCCAGGCTTCGGCTAATCACACTTTGAGATGCCATGAGAATTGTGATCTTCTCTGATAAAATATACATCGTATATGCCACAGGATCTTGAATGTGATTTAAAAATGTTGTTTTCAAACAAATCAGCCTATTTTCCCCTAACTAATTAGCACTTGTGCTAGACCCAAAATAATAACGGAGAATAACAAATGAGCCTTAAATAGCAAACATGGCCTTTTTACTCTAAGACTGAAATTATAGTAATGGTGAGGAGAAACAATTTAAATATGAAATGTGAACACCATTCAAATAGGCTATAAACAATATTTATCACATTAACTAATATAATAAAGGCTTGTTAGTAGCATCAGATGTTCCATTAAGCACATTTAACATCTGTGAAACCTTTTAATTGAGCAGAATGTTCTTTATAGAAGACACTTTTTCCTGCAGCACTGGTTCTAAAACATTCATTTTCTTTTCGGCTTAGTCCCTTTATTAATCTAGGGTTGCCACAGTGGAATGAACCGCCGACTTTTACCGCACATGTCTTACACAGCAGATGCCCTTACAGCCCGAACTTAACACTCACATACACTACGGCCAATTTAGCTTATTTAATTCACCTGTACAGCATGTTTTTGGACTGTGGGGGAAACTGAAACTTCAGTCAGTCGAACCAGCGACCTTCTTGCTATGAAACAATTGTTCTACCCACTGCTCCACCATGCTGCCCCTGTTCTGAAACTTTTCGTTATTTCTTTAGTATTACAAGTAGATGTAGAAAACTTGTACATAGTGTTCCTGATGTAACCCATACGTTTCTGAAGAGCATTTTTGAACCCCAAAGTGGGTGGAGCCAGCTATCGACCGCATGGCTGTGCAAAAATGTGCAAAAAGGCAGAATGTGGGTGCAGCTATACTCTGTTTATTTTCCTTATATTGATTTTCTTAATTAAATGTGTGGAGTTCATATTCTGTGCACATCTGCTCGGTTATGCTTTATTGCTAATGTTTTATTGAGTTTTTTATTGCGTTTTTCAGGTTTATTGAAGCATTTTTAAAAACATTAAGCATTCTATTAAATGCCACGCTACGATATAACATGGCTGTTTTATACAGCCTACTGCTAATCTGTCTGTCAGATTATGAGGTGCAGTGAAGTTTTAAAAAAAATAAACAGATAAATAATTAGGAAATTATTTTAAATAAATTAAATAAATACATAAGTAAAATAATAGAGTATCACACATAAATAAAAAAGGTCTGTCTGTTAATAATCACACAACAAGCATTATAACTTGATGGATAATATAATATAAATATAACATTCATTCATTCATTCATTCATTCATTCATTCATCTTCCTTCGGCTTAGTCCCTTTATTCATCAGGGGAATTAACCGCCAACTTATCCAGCATATGTTCTACACATCGGATGCCCTTTCAGCTGCAATCCATCACTGGGAACATCCATACACACTATGGAAAATTTAGTTTATTTAATTCACCTATTGAAACCAGAGCACCCGGAGGAAACCCACGCGAACACAGGGAGAACGTGCAACCAGCAACCTTTTTGCTGTAAGGCAACAGTGCTAACCACTGAGCCATAAATATAACATAAAAAAGCAATAGACTGCATAATAAACAATAAAGCAAAGGCACAAACATGGTCAAGTTTAGTGGCTGGAACTAGCTGAGGTTAGTTTATGACTAGCAGAAGACAAGTTTCACTCAAATGACCATGCCCTTAATTATGTATTCATTTATTATTTATTTTTTTACTTAGTCCCTTTATTAATCTGGGGTCGCCACATTGGAATGAACCACCAACTTATCCAGCATATGTTTTACACAGAGGATGCCCTTCCAGCCGCTACTCAACAACGGGAAAAACCCATACACTCTTACATTCACACACATACACTACAACTAATTTAGCTTGTTGAATTCACCTATAGCGCATGTCTTCAGACTGTGGGGGAAACTGAAGCACCCAAAGGAAACCCACACAAACAAGGGGAGAACATGCAAACTTCACACAGAAATGCTAACTGACCCAGCCAGCGCTCGAACCAGCAACCTTCTTGCTGTGAGGCGATTATGCTAGCCACTGCGCCACCATGCTGCCCCGCACCTTGATTATGCAGAAATTTAAAGGTTAATATACAGTCATTTGAGTCAATAAGTTATTTACGCACATTTTTAGAAAACAAAGCACTTTTTTGTACCAGGCTGTAAACTAAATTACTTTTTCTGTTAATTTGGACACTCTACCTCTGGGCAATGTGGGCATGTACATCGGTTTTGGAGCCAGTCTCTGCCTGTCAATGAATTGCAGGACAACTGAAGGTTGCTACTTATTTATAAGCCATTAACCAAACCAACCAGCTACAATGTAAACACCAAAACTCTATATTTCAATTTGAAGCTTAGAAGTTTATCAAAGAACAAAATACAAAGCGACTAAAATTTTAAGACAACATACAACATCTTCAATGATGGAACTACAAGTCCATGAAGCATTGCAAATGACATAATTAAAATAAAAGGTAACACTTTACAATAAGGTTCATTAGTTAATGCATTTACTAACATGAACTAATCATGAACAACACTTGTGCAGCATTTATTAATCATAATTGAACATTTACTAATGCATTATTAACATCCAAGTCCATGCTTGTTAAAATTAGTTAATGCACCATGAGTTAACATGAACTAACAATGAACTACTGTATTTACATTAACTAACGTTACTAGCATGAACAAATACAGTAGTAAATGTATTGTTCACTGTTTGCTCATGTTAGTAAATGCATTAATTGACATTAACTAATGAACCTTATTGTAAAGTGTGACCAAATAAAAATACAAAACTATTCATTTAAAGTTGTTGGTTTTACCAATAGAAACAACATATATAAAGCCTACAAAAATATGCATAAATATACAAATAAGTATTGTCAGAGTAGATATAGATTGACTGGCTTGTTAGATTTTGCTATATTTGGCTAAACAGTTCTCGGGTGGATCGCCAATGTATTAGATGACTCTAATACATAAAATAACTAAGCTGACCAAAGTTCTTAAGGGGTGAAGACTTTATTCAAGACAATGAACAGTGCAGTTCCTCAGTAGTGATGATAACTCGTCTGTCTTCTGTGAGACACTACTTTATAACAAGGAATATGACCTTAGAGATTACCCAAATGGTTTATTTGGTTCACAACTCTTGAGTTCCTGTAGGCCATTTGGTTAACACCTTTTCAGATACAGATAATTGTTTGCATATGAAACAAGCCATACAATCTATCATGCTTCATTAAAGTGGCTGGAGCTATAAATCTTTCGCTATTTATTACTCATTGCCGTTCCCTAATTAGTGGAATTTTCTGTCCACCATGTTGAGTTTTGCACACATTCTGCTATTAAATATAATTGTTTCAATAAATATGTTGTTTTTTGTGAACAGATTGGTTCAACAAAAGCATAATTAACACCCTCAGAGTTCACAAAAAAATTATAGGTAAGTGTGTAAAAACAATCAAACAATATAGTCGGAAAGTACTTACAGTAGGTCTTTCTGGTCAGTTCCTCCACCACCTCCGGTTTGAGCTTGCTGTTTGATTTGCCCATGATCGCCAGACCTCCTCCAGATACAGTTTGTGTGGTCCAGTGTGAAACTGACCCGTACCTGAGCCCTTCAGCAGCTCGTTTCTCCTTATGGCAGAATTTCAGAGACTTAAAAGCACCAACAAAGTGACAAACAAATCAGCACTGCCAACAAATCCAAGAAAATCCATCCAGCATAAATGTTCGTGTTCTTGCTGACTTACTGAGCCCTTTAAAGGTCTAAAGTCACTATTAGAATCCTTTTCACAAAGCAAGACTCTTAAAAATCCATCCTCAATAACTAGCACCTCTGACGAGTCCTTTAGAACTGTTGCTCCTCAAATAAAAGCCCATGCGTTTCGTTGAATGCTGAAGCAATAGTGTCAGATTTTGATCGTGATCTGTTTGGTTCTTCAATTTAAAAAATAAGGCTTTGAATGTATTTAAATGCCAGTGGTTATAAGAGACGCTCGCCGTGTTCTGTGTGCTCTCTCCTGCTCACACTTAAGCGCCAATTCTCTCTGGCTCTACACTCGCCCTCCCTCTTCTCTCCGTCTTTTTACTCCCTCCCTGTCTTGTTAGCTCTGAGTGACTCTTAAAGGAGATTCCTTGCTCTAGTTGTCTTGGCAGCTGAGATGAAAGGTTTGGTGGAATTAAAAGAGAAGTGCAGATTAGTTAAATCTTAACTAGCGGAATCCATTCATGTAGACATTTGGGTAGAATTAGTTCTGGTCGAAGTCGTCATGTAGAATTTGCTCTTGTCATTTTTTTTCTGGTAGAAGACCTTCTGGTAGACTGAGTTCTGGCTGAAAATCTTCATTTAGGATTCATTCAGTTGAAATTTCTGGCAGAGTTGGTCCTGTTTGAAGGTTTTCTGATAGAATATGCTCTGGTAAATGTTGTTTTTGACAAATTCTCTCTAGTAGATGATGAACAGTCTAGAATAATCTGAACAATCTTAAATAACACTGATCCCTGGCTGTGATTATTGAGGTAATTTTGAGAGCAAATACTGCTAAAATGGCAAAAAGTGTCGAATAAATCATTTGGAGAATAAAAGCGCTGAGATTCACCACCGCCGATTGCATTAGGAAATATGTGGAAGCTGGAAATAAGCAGTTTTTGAGTGTCCCAGTCTGCAAGGCATTCACATTCTCCTAGTAACCATTGTTTGCTTCTCTCTAGGCCTGTTCTTCTTCACACCTTCTGTTTTTCAAAGCAGCAACTCCTGTTCGCCAAGATCTAGTTGTCGGTAGAAACCTCCAAACACTGCGGGAACAAACAGCAACAAGGTCAGACTGCATTGGATGATAACAGTGTCATGAGTCTAGCAATCTTGATAGAGCCACTGAGAGATGAGGGGTGGGGGGAATTGCTGACCGCACACTCTTCTTGCAGATACACTTGACTTTCATGAGAACGATTTTCTCCCTGAGCCCGTGTAAGGACGGCACAATGCACTATTCCTTTGGCAGCACTGCAAGTGCATCGATACAGTATCCTGAACCAGGGTCAAACTGCATTAGTCAAATTATGTTAGAAGCAGTCTGGAGGATTCTATATTTGGTTAAGGGTTGTTGAGTTCACTTATACAGATTTAGCTACAGTACGCTTCAAACAATAAAAATTTTGCTTGTTCCGTGAGCAGATGCAAAAAAATAAATAAGCAGCAAATCAAAAACATAAAAAGCTATGAAAATGAAACATTGATATGAATAACTCCAGGCTACAGGAAAAACAAACATCTTCCTCTGATCTAGTAATCACAGGGAAAACACTCAGGGAAAATGTTTCAAATGAAAGCACAGAATATAATAAAATAGTTTCAAATACAATTATCTCCTTTAAAGATCATTTAAAACAAGCTGTGATATACAGTATAGTCTCAATGCAACACCGAGCTGCAAATCTAATGATCTCCTTAAATCGGCCTAAATAACTTTATGACCTGTGGTTGCATAATATGCTGTAATCTTTGGCTTATTAACTTTATTTTGCTTTATGAAAGATTTAAAAAATTGTGTATATGTTGCTTTGAGATGTGAAAGGCATAGGTACAACAGAGGCAATCAATTGTTTTAGTCTTATTTGAGGTTATATGTGATACACTGTAAAACCCAACAGATGACTTTATCAAATGAGTTGAGTGTAGTTAACTCAAAATTGACCTAAAGTTAATTCTACTCATTTGAAAAGAGTTTTGAACTCAGTGTTGAAGGTAATGAGTTAATTAAATACCTCATGACTTCAACTTAAATGGTGAAAGTTCACGATAATCATATACTGTAGATTAGTTTTTACTCAAACGGTTTGAGTTGCCTTAACTTATTGGGTTTTACAGTACTCAGTCGGTTTGAGTTCTCTTCATTTATTTGGTTGTACTGTGCTTAAATTGCTTAATTTACTCAAAAGTTTACAGTACTCATTTGGATTAGTTTTTGAACAAATGGTTTGAGATACCTTAACTTTTTGGGTTTTACAGTGTACAAATATCTAGAGATCACAATGTCTTTTGTAATGCTGATATAAATAATATTCAAAAAACAGAAAATGTTCAAAGGTAAAATTAAATAGCACGTATTTGTTCTCAAAAATATAATAAATCTGAAAATGAAAAATTATTGTCTTTTTTCACTGTATAAGTCGATATATAGATAAGTACTTATTTGGAGTCAAAGGGTTAGTTCACACAAACATTACAAATTTAAAGTTCTAAATTCAGTGTACACCATGGTTTCTTTGGGCTTTTTGTTTTTATAAAGTAGTTCCAAAAACATGTCAATTTTTCACATAATAAAACAAAGCAACTATAACAGTTTCTAATTTAGGCTCACTACTGAGTGGAATGGTTGCCAAGCAACAGTCATGGGTGTATGTTTATAAAGTAATATTCAAATTTAAAAATTAAAAATGTCATTTTTAAAAGCGCTTTAAAACTCTCAGTTTCACTGAATTTGCAATTTATCGTTATTTTAATCTTTTTAGTTTTTTTTGTAAAATGATATTTATTTAGAAAGTAAAACATCTTGCAAGTTTATTGTTTGTGTGTGTATGTGTGTGTAACACTCTACATGACAATTTATTTATTTTATTTTTTTATGGAAGAAAGCATGGTGGTGCAGTCGATAGCGCTGTCGCCTTACAGCTAGGAGATCCTTGGTTCAAAGTCTTAGCTGGGACAGTTGGCATTCTGTGTGGAGTTTGCATGTTCTCCCCATGTTCGTGTGGGTTTCCTCCAGGTGCTCCTATTTCCCCCACAAATGTGGTGTAGGTAAATTGGGTAAGCTAAATTGTCCCTAGTGTATGAGTGGGAATGTGAGAGTGTGGCGGGAAGGGCATCTGCAGCGTAAAACATGCTGGATAAGTTGGCGGATCATTCCGCGGTGGCGACCCCTGATTAATAAAGGGACTGAGCCGAAAAGAAAATGAATGGAAAAAATGTGATATCACACAATTATTAAAATTTTACTCAAACCCCACACCTAATCTAGTAAATGCAGAGAACGTGAGAGTTTTTGAGTGTTCTTTTAATGTTATTTCTCTTTTTTCTGAAGCTGTAGTAGCCTACACACACATGTACAGGGTGTGTTTTGTATGCTACGGCTACTAAAAAAAATAATAATAATGTAATAAATCTCTTGGCAGCATGGTGGCGCAGTGGGTAGCGCTGTCGCCTCATAACAAGAGAGTCACTGGTTCGAGTTCTGGCTGGGTCAGTTGGCATTTCTGTGTGGAGTTTGCATGTTCTCCCCATGTTCGTTTGAGTTTCTTCCGGGTGCTCTGGTTTCTCCCACAATCCAAAGACATGCAGGATATTTAAATAAAATAAACTAAATTGGCCGTTGTGTATGTGTGTGAATAAGTGTTTATGGGTGTTTCCCTGTACTGGGTTGCAGCAGTAAAGGCATCTGCTGTTTAAATATGATGGATAAGTTGGCAGTTCATATCACTGTGGAGACCATAAATAAAGCCACTAGGTGATGAATGAATGAATGAATCTCTTATTTGTTGTATGCCGAAGTTAATGTCTTTAAGAAATAATTGTGAATAGCTACTAGGCTACACGTTTCTTATAATACGAAGTGGACAAAATAGGAGCGTTGTAGGCTTTCGATGAAACGACGTACTGTACGCTCATTCAAACGTTAATAACGCACTGTGTACCTGTCAAACGCAAACGTGCACGCGTTTGACAGGTACACAGAGAACGCCGGCCATCACAGCAAATCGATGAAACTAGGACAGCATCTAAATATAACTGGGGTAAATAAACATACCTCTGGTTTACAAACATCTTTGACTGAAAGCTTAAACTTTTCAGCGGTGAAACTTGATAGATGACTGGTTGTTTCCTTAACGGTACATGAGGGCATCTTGCCATCAAGCTACGTGTCACATAAGCCCTTCAGCAGTGTCTGTTAACGCAATGTTTTTCAATGAAAGTCAACGTCACATGAGACTCACCGAGCTGTTGTTTGTCTTTCTCATTCACAGATGGCTCTCTGTCAGGTTGTGTTTGGCTTTTCCTCCTGCTGCCTCTCTGGGTGTCTGTAACCTTCTTTCAGACGGGACTGTTCTCTACTCGAAGTCTCTCCAGAGGCTGGACAAACTAAACTCACCGCCTGCCGTTAACCCTTCAGCCTTCAGTTTCTCTGGAATGAATGTCTTCTACTACAGATAATAATAATAATAATAATAATAATAATAATAATAATAATAATAATAATAATAATAATAATAATAATAATTAGTGATTGTTAATATTTTTAGTAGTTTGGGTCAGTAAATCGTGTAGCTACTTTGCTTAACGGATTCATTTAAGCCACAAAATAAAAGCAATGTTTTCTCTAATTTGCTGGAAACATGCTAATCATTATGATTTAACACTGTGCTAACATAATAATGGCATGATTCTAAAACAGCAGCAGATGGTGTGTTGCTCCTGAACAAGCTACTTCATTCATAACACCTCCTACAGTAGCATCTTGAGAGTGAATGGTACCTTTTGGCTCCATGATTAGTGGAAAGCCATCTCGTAATAATAATAATACTGAGATTATGCACACATGCACAGTCAAAACTGCCAAGCAATGCGTACTGTATTTGGCACTCTGGTGGTTGACTCCGGCCCCTTCACCATCTGTTACTGGCTATATCAAGCTCACAGTTTCATATGAACCCAAAGCATTAATTAGCTGTACAGTTTTACAAATACACCCTCATTTAGGTCTTTGATTGCTTTTCACGGTTGCCTGTGCCATCAAGCTGATTCCATTGGTTAGTTTCTAATGCAATGAAATGCAATGCAATTGAGTAGTGGAATCTGCATATACAGTGTTGTGAAAAGGTGTTACTGATTTCCCTTACTGATTTATTTATTTATTTATTTATTTATTTATTGATGTTTGTCACACTTTAATGTTTTAGATCATCAAACTAATCTAGATATTAGATATATACATTATTATATTTAAATATATTAACAAATTTAAATATTTTAAAACATCATGCAGTTTTCAAAATTAAGTTTTTAATATTAAGGAATACAAAATTACACCTTGTGTGAAAAAGTGTTTGCCTACTAGTTGGGCCACCCTTAGCAGCAACATTTACAATCAAGCAATTTTGAAAACTTACAATGAGTTTGTTACAGCACTGCAAAGGACTTTTGGCCCACTCATCTTTGTTGAACTGTTGTAATTCAGCCATACTGGAGGGTTTTTAAGCATAAGCTGTTTTAAGGCCATGCCACAGCCTCTCAATTGGATTCAGGTCAGGACTTTGACAACACCACTACAAACCCTTCATTTTGTTTACATTCAGTCATGAACATGCTGGTGTGCTTTGGATCATTTCCCTGCTGTAGAACCCAAGTGCGCTTCAGCTTGAGGTCATGAACACATGGCCAAACCTCCTTTGGGATATTTTGGTACACAGCAGAATTCATGGTTCTATTTATCACAGCAAGTCTTCTAGGTCCTGGAGCAGCAAAACAGTGTCAGGCCATCACACTACCACCACCACATTTCACTTTTGGTTTGATGTTCTTTTTTTAAAATGTGGTGTTACTTTTAAGGCACGCATAATGGGACACACTCCTTCTAAGAGTTTAAACCTTTGCCTCGTCAGTCCAAAGAGTATTTTCCCAAAAGTCCAGATGTTTCCCGCAGAACTGGGACAAGCCTTTATGTTGTTTTTGCTCAGCAGTGATTTTTGTCTTGGAACTCTGCCATGCAAACCATTTCCTGTCTTATGGTGGAGTCATGAACACTCATCTTAACTGAGGCAAGTGAGGCCTCCAGTTCTTTGGATTATGTTCTGGATTTTTTTTTATGTTTATTTTTTATTTTTTTGTGACCTCTTGAATGAATTGTCACTGTGCTCTTGGGGTAATTTTGGTCAGCCGGTCACTCCTGGAACGATTCTCCACTGTTCTAAGTTTTTGCCATTTGTAGTGGCTGCAGTCCCAAATCTTTAGAACTATTTTATAGCCTTTTCCCAACTGCTGGATCTTAGATATTAGCTTTCTCAGTTGTTCCTGAATTTGGTGGGATCTCACCATGATATATATCTTTTAAGGATAATTTGGTCTACTTCACTTTAGGCAGGTCCTTCTTAAGTGATTTCTTGATTTCAAACAAGATTTGGCAGCAATCAGGCCTGGATGTGGCTAGAGAAATCGAACTCTGGTATGATAAACCAGAGTAGTATTGTGTTGTAACAGGGGCAAACATATTCATGTAGTTTTGGATTTTGTTTTCCTTTAATTTGAAAAAACTTCATTTCAAAACTGCATAATGTGTTTACTTGTGTTATCTTTGACTAATATTTAAACTAGTTTGATGATCTGAAACAATAAAGTGTGATAAATATGTAAGTGGCAAAAACTAATTCACACCTATAGCGCATATTTTTATTTTTAGTTAATAATTTATTATAAGGGAATGCGCGCACAAAGCTAAGGAATTATCTTATTTTTCACTCTTGCTGGTCTCTGATGTAAATAAAACATCCTCTTTTTTAATTCCCATGGTGTTAAGTAGCTGTTAAAAGCAACATTTGGCCTTTGGAAAAATCTGGGTTAATGCATTCTCAGTTAGTCATGGAGGAGGGACATCAAAGGCTGCTTTTAAATGTTTACACCCAAACGCATCAGGTCAAACGATAAAATGCATTTTTTAAATTATTCTACAAGTAGTGGAATTTTAAAGTAGACAGGTCTTTCATGATAGGGCGGGGGTCTTCTTAATTGACTCACAGTAAGTTATGATTTCATCCTTGTACATTTAAGCCTATAGCTGTCAATGCACCACCACCTATAGCAACCACCCATGCAGGTAAACATCTGTTTTGGCCTGATTTAGAGTTTCAAAACCTTGTATTTACTGATTTTATGTATTGATTTTCATATATTTATTTTCACATATTTATTTTCAGACAGATTTCAGGCTTTAGCTTAGCTTATCTAGAAATATACATTTTCTATTAAAGCAATAGTTCCTAAAAAATTCTGTCATAGTTTACTCATCTGCCACTTGTCACAAAACCTGTTTGGGTTATTTTTATTTTATTTAATTTTTTTCTTGAATACAAAAGAAGATAATTTGAAGAATGTTAGAATCTGGTAACCATTGGCTTCCATAGTTTTTTTCCTATAGATGTCAGTGGTTACCAGTTACCATTCATTCATTTCCTTCAGCTTAGACCCTTTATTCATCAGGGGTCGACACAGTGGAATTCTGTCCTTGTTATATTGTGAGCTCAATTTTTAGCTTTTTTTTTCGTTTTTTTATTTTCTTTCTTAGTATCTATCATTTAATCTGTCCTTGAAACACACTGTAATTCGAATGTTTCACGACTGTGATAACAAAACTATGCAAAAAGCATGACGGTGTATTATAAAGGAAGAAATCCTCGTGAACATCGACCTTAATTGATTCTGAACTTCACAGGACATGAACAGACGGTCATTTCTTTTTAACTAGGTTGCATTTAAATACGTATTAACAGCACCCCCCATTGGTCTTGGGTTGAATTCTGTTAACATGGTCAATTTATGAGCTTACTTGTTTATTCAATTAGACATATGGGCTGTTTATATGAAATATAGGGAAGACATGTCCCGTTACATAATATAGTTGAGTTTAACTTTTATTCAGCCTTTATGCCCAAAGGCCATACTGAAGGACGTAAATGTAATAGCCTATTAATAAATATATTTATATATTTGGAAAATAATATTTTTCTGTTAGTGACATTATTTTGTATCATTTATTTGTTTACTTGACATTTGTTTATTTCCTCATGTATTTAGCCAGTCATTAAAATATTTTTCATCATTTTCATTACAGTATTTGTTTAATCACAATTAAATGACTTATTGATGTAAATAAAAATATAGGCATATTTCATTGTCTTATTGAATTTTATTTTTTTATTTGCTTGTTTATTTTACAGGGACAATACACTTGACATTGTTATACAAAGATAACCGATGTTGTGTACATAAGGCATAGCATAAAGCTAATTTGCAGCCCTCGTCCCTGGTTAGGCTTTACATAAAAAAAATATAATTAAAAAATAAATAAATAAATAATAATAATAATAATAATAAAAACGGCAAGAATAAAACAATACAGCAAACATTTACAATATTTACAGAGCCATAAACATAAGATGCAAGTCCATATGGATAAAGAGAAATGTAAATGGGACCAACCTGAAAGAATAATGCTTAATGTTCACATTGCTGTAAAGATTTCAACCATTCCTTCAGCTTTACAGAAAAAACTGGGAGTTCGGATTGTAACTTTAAATGAACAGGCATGGCATTCCGTAGATGTGAACCTTTTACTGAAAAGGATGACTGACCCACAGCGGTTCTGCATCTGCGGATTCTACAATTCCCACTTACTGCCCCTCTAGTCTTCGCCCCATCACTACTGAATTTATTTATTAACTCACAAACTACTTAAGGAGCAAGACCATGTATACACTTGACTTAAACATGGTTTTTAAAAACGAAAACTTTAAAAAACTATCAAAACTTAACAAATTATATTTTTTAAGATTTTGAAAATGGTGCCATCTTATTGGTTTCTGATCCATTACTTTTAAAGTTTGTTTGTAAAGAGATATTACAGGCTTAACAACTGACTGGGTTGCTTGACCCCAGATTATTGGACAATAAGACATACGTGAAAATATCATAGCATGCACAAACATTTGCGCTGCTTTAAGAGAAATATATGGTCTTATCATACGAAAACAGTTTAAATTTGTCTTAATGGCCTTAGACATTTTCTTGATGTGGGCATCAAACTTAAGCTTAGAGTCTATGATGACACCTAGGTATTTAAATTCACTCACTTCCTTAATTTCCTCTTGGTCAATTTGGATTTTAAAAGCGTCTAGTGCTCTGTTTTTTGAGGAGAAACACATTAAAACTGTTTTGTTGTAATTTAGAGTTAGACAGTTGTCCTTCAGCCAGTTGGAAATACAGACCAGTTGGTTAGTTAACATTTCTGCAGCCTTCTGTGAATTTTCTGCTGTTACATAAATAATTGTATCATCAGCATACATTTGACAACCAACCTCCTTGCAACTTTCAGGTAGATCATTTATATACAAACAGAAAACCACCATTTATATACCCACCATCTTTCCTTGATCCAAACTGCTTTTTATCATATCTATAAAATTACATTTTGCCATTTCTGTTGAATATTTTGGTATATTGGAAATCATTGTTTACAAAAAACATTTTTTGTATTTGTTAGATTATTTTACTTATTTAACTCCATAATTTATTTTTACAGGCGTGTTTAATTATTTATTGTATAATAATATAAAACTGACTATTTATTTTACATTTATCTTCATTATTTCAAGTAATTAATTTATAATAATTTTTGGAAATAAATATACATATACATATAATATATATATATATATATATATATATATATATATATATATATATATATATATATATATATATATATATATATGTATATGTATATATGTATGTATGTATATATAACAACAATAATAATAATAATAATAATAATAATAATAATAATAATAATAATAATAATAATAATAAAACGCATTTATAATAGGTCATACATTTTTTCACAGCAAATCTCTTTATATTATAAATTATTCAGGTGCCTTTTATATTTTAAAACATTTCAAAATGAATATATATGAGAAAAGTAAAAGTGTATCTTTAAAAAAAACAGAAAGAAAGAAAATTAACGTTATTCATACACGGTCTAAACTTTTATTTTGAAACCCTTTAACCGGAAATATTTACACCGTGCATTGTTTCATTTCGTAGTTTCCTTGCTAAATATTTACGTGTGATTCATTCCACCTATCTAGTAAATTACACATTTCTAAAATTGTGACAGCTGTCATAAGAGTATTACCACATGTTGAAATTAGCATTTTAACTATATGTTCAGAGTAGTTACCGTTACGCTTAAAGTGTTACGCTTTAATTTGTGATCTGCATATGACAACACTATAACATTTGACCAAGTTACATGTATTAAAATTACCCGAGGATCTCATAATACGTAGACTGGGCTTCTGGAGAGAAGAAATGTCATCAGGGAGGCGGGAGAATAAAACAACGTTACAAAAACAACAGCTAACCAACTACATAAGGTAAGGTAACTAGTTAACCCCGTTAACCCACTGCTCTTCAAAGTCACGTGATGACGTGCGCACAAAGCATAAACTAACGAGTAGTACAGTATGCTTTCATGTGAGCGAAGAGCGTAGAATGATGATTCTATGCTCTTTGATGTAAGTAACACACCACAGAAGTTCAGATTTTATAGTGGCTTTTGGCTTTGCAAAATGTATTTATGTTTTATGACAGCAGTGAAGGATTATCTGGCTATTTGATTTCATTTATTTTCATTTATTTATTTTCAAACACAAACATCATACATATAAATTCTTTAACAAAAACAAAAAAACAAAAACAAGCTTATTATTTTTCCACCCCGTGACCACTCACATAATTCGTCTTGTGATTCCAGTTGTACATTTACATTTTATAACATAGACACAAAAATACATAGTACTGCAAACAGCCATTGATTGAAATGTCATCATACCTTTCTCATTTTATTCTTTTTCAATCACTTCTAATCATCATTATATTCCTTTAACAATATACATTTATGCAACTTTTTAAATTGATCAATATCCTGACATTGTTTGAGAATCTGTTCCAGACTGTTTCATAATTTTATAACCACATACAGACATACACAAACTTTTTAAAGTTGTCCTTGTTTTCAACCTCCTAAAATGTTGTTCTTCTCTCAGATTATATCCCTCTTGTCTTTCTTCAAAAAACCTTTGTATCCATTTCAGAAGTAATGTTTTCCTAGCTTTAAACATAAATTGTGCTGTTTTAAATTTAACAAAATCATTGAACTGAAGTATTTTCAATTTAGAAAATAAAGGATTTGTATGCTCCAAATACCCCACATTTTATATCAGTCTAATGACTTTTTTCTGCATTATATATAAGCATCGAAGTTAGATTTCAACACAAAAGTTTTCAGTGCTTTGTGTGAGTGTTTGAGAAACATTGACTTTGAACAAAAAATATCGACATTGTATTCCTGCTCTTTTGGGCCTTACAAGAAAACCACCTTTAAAAACAGCCAACAAATTATGTTGCTTTGAAGTTTATTTCAATTCAAGTTTATTTGTATAGGGCTTTTCACCATAATTATTGCTTTAAAGCAGCTTCACAAAAGGATCACATTATTGCATTACGGTCAAAATCAGAAAAAATTAAGCCTATTAGTTAATATAATTTTATTAGTTACTAATAACTTTAACTAATTACTTATAACTTTATCATTTAAAGTTATTATTCTGTATGTGAACAAAATTAACCTGCAGTTATTTAGTATATACACTAGCTGACAAAAGTCTTGTTGCCTATGCAAGTTTTAGGAACAACACATGATAACTTGTCTTCTAGTTGCTCATTTGGCATCTCTGTATGGACTCATGTAACTTATTAATAAAGTCATCTGGAATGGCAAAGAAAGTGTTCTTGCAGGACTCCTAAAGTTCATCAAGATTCTTTTGATTCATCAATGCCGCCTCCTCCATCTTACACCAGATATGCTCAATAATGTTCAAGTCTGGTGACCAGGCTGGCCAATCCTGGAGGACCTGAAGTATGAGAAGGAGCGCTATCCCCATATTGAACGTAACCCCAAACCATGATTTTTTTCTTCCCCAAACTTGACTGATTTCTGTCAGAATCTTGGGTCCATGTGGGTTCCAATGTGGAATATGATGATTGGGATGCAGTTCAACAAATTATTCATCAGAAAAATCTGCATTTCCAAATGATCAACTAGAAGTTAAGGTATTATTTGTTGCTATTACTCCTGAGATCAACAATAAGACTTTTGTCTGGTAGTGTAGTTGATGTCTATGTGTACATATTCAGTAATGTGTATTTGTCTATTAAGTGTATGTGTTGTCCATGAAGTCCTCGAATGGTTCATATCATCAAGTTTGCTTTTATAATTAAGTGGTCTGTGAGGGTTATGTTAAAGTAATATGGTAGGGTTAGGGGTTGAAAGATGATTACCTCAGTTAAATTATCATGATGCCTTTAGGAAAGTAGACACAAAAACTGCCTTTGGTTGTGTGTGTTTGTATTTATATAGATGAACTTGCACAATTTTGATGGTGTATGTTTTGAACTATTTGACAGTGACAGAGGAGTGGATGAAAAACATGAGCTCTGATGAAGATGTGCCGGCTGCATCTAAACCTTCTCATCTCATAGGGAAGAAAGAGAACATCATTAAAGCCAGGCGAGTGGTGAAGTCCATTGGAGGAAGAGATGTTCTGGTGATTTACCACCAGGGCCACTTCTATGCTATTGATGCCCGCTGCTATCGTAAGTTAAAGCAAAATATTTTTAAGGCTACAGTTCAGGACCCATTTAAGAGGCATCAGAAAAATCTTTTTTGCTTATATCAGGTCACTCAAAGTTTTTTTTTTATTTATTTTTTTTTTTTTATGGTTTATGGTACGTGAGGAAGCATTTGTGGTTGAAAAAGCTAATTAATAAAAAAAATGTCTGTAAATTGATAACACATTAACGTTTCATCTTAAATATTACACCAAAAAACATTTTAATTCATGTTCTTTTTATTGTAAACATAACAGCAAACATATGTTTTTATTACGTATGTTTTTATCACAAGAAAAATTTCAATTGAAAATTTAATTGAAAGTAGTATTGCACTTGTTTGTTTTTATTGCTTGAAAGCCATTTTTTAATGTTTTTTTTAATATATTTTATATTTATTCATATAAGAGTCAACAAGATACAAGTAACAAAATTGAATTAGAAACTGAAGTAGAGGTCTACATTCCGACCAGATTTCTGCGGCGCGGCGATAAATGTCCGAATAAAGCGCGGGAGCGGTCGGTAACTCTTCTACTCTGGTTTATCTCACCTGAGTTCAATTTCTCTAGCCACAACCAGGCCTGATTGGTGCCACATCTTGTTTGCAATCCAGAAATCACTTAAGTGGGACCTGCTTGACAAAGTGAAGTAGACCAAAAGTTCCTCAAAACATTCTATACTTATAGATATCATGAACACAGACTGAAAACTAATATCTAAAAATTTAGGCACCTTTAGTAACATTTCACTTTTTCAGATGATATATTGTGCTGTACTGTTTTAAAACTATATATAAATAACATTTTGTTTGCCTGCAGACTCTGGAGGTCCACTTCAGGAGGGAGATATAGAGGTGAGTTGTAGATATTTATAAATACAATTGAAACCAGAAGTTTACATACACCCTAAAAAAGGGAACAAAACTATTTTTTTTTAAATGTCTGTTGTTAAATCATACTAAACGTTTACTATTTTAGGTCCGTTATGATTACCTAAATGATTTACATTTGCTAAATGCCAGATTAATGAGAGAATTTTTTTTTTTTTGAGAATTTTTATTAATTTCTAGACAGTCAAAAGTTGACATACATTTCCTTGATATATTTTTAGCTTTGCTTTTAAACTGTATAACTTTGGTCAAATGTTTTGGGTATTGTTCCACAAGCTTCTCACAATAGTTTGAAGGAATTTTGGCTCATTCCTCTTGACATAATTGGTGTAACTGAGTCAGATTTTTTAACTCTGCCCGCAAATTTTCTGTACGATTGAGATCAGGGCTTTGTGATGGCCACTCTAAAACATTCACTCTGTTGTCCTTAAAGCACATTTTAACTAATTTGGCAGTATGCTTAGAGTCATTGTCTGTTTGGAAGACCCATATGTGGCCAAGTTTTAATTTCCTGGCTGATGTCTTGAGATGTTGCTTCAGTATTTCTACATAATTTTCTTTCTTCATGATGCCATCTATGCTGTGAAGTGGATCAGTCATAGTTGGGATGGTGTTCCATGGCTTGTAAGCTTTCCCCTTTGTCCTCAAAATGTAACACTGGTCATTATGGCCAAACAGTTCAATCTTAGTTCCATCAGACCTCAAGACATGTCTCCAAAAATTATTCTTTTTCCCAGTGTAATTTAGCAAATTGTAATCTGGCTTTATTTTTTTCGATTCTGGCTTGTTGATTTTCCCGTGTTGTCTCAAAAGGAAGCAGTGTGTATGAGGTTTTCCTTAAATACTATTTTACAATTGTGCCTTCAATGAACTCAAATGTTGTCAATTAGCCAATCAGAAACATCCAAACCCTGACTTCATCATCTGAGCCTTTTCAGAGGCATAATAATGTTATTGTATGTAAAGTTGACTTTCAAGAAAAGTTATAACAAATTTTCAAAAAATATCTCATTATTCTGCTACTAAGCATAAAAGAAACAAATATGATAATCCTAACTTACCTAAAAGAGAAACACATTAACATCTGACCTTTTTAAATGGTTATTTTGCTTGACTGTATGTAAACTTTTAGTAATAACTGTATATGACACAAATCTACTTCAACTTTTTGATGCTTTGTTTTTTGCGTTGAAGGATTTTGATGGACGGACATGCATTGTGTGCCCATGGCATAAATACAAAATTACATTAGCTGAGGGTGAGGGTCTCTATCAGGCTGTGGACCCTACTGTGAAGCCTCTGAAACCAACCTGGTGCTCTAAAGGTATTAAACAAAGAATCCACACTGTGACCGAGTCTAACGGAGACCTGTTCCTCACCCTAAATGACTGTGCAGGGGCCGTTGACTCTGATATCTATCAAACCGAGAAATACAGAGACACTTTTTTGAAAAAAGGAGTGAAGAAAACAAATTGACCTCTTAAGAAGACACAAAAATCTCTCTGGTCTCAGTTGATCTGCAGGAGGAAATTAATGTGTTCATCGAATATTGTTCTACTTTTGAAAATCTACTAAATCTTTACTAAAGGCTAGTCCAGCTTATTTCTAACTGGTCTGAGCTAGTCTTACGATCATACAAGTTGACTGACCATTAACCATTTTCCAAAAAACAGCCTGACAACTTTTAACAGGTATAACCACGTTGCTGTTTTTCATGCACAACACTGCATGTTTCATTTTTCTTTTTTCACGTGAGACGTTGTTCTAATTTGACAATTAGTGCCCTGCAAAGATGACTACGCAAGCAACACATTAATGATAAAAATGGATCTGTACGTGGAATAGAAAATTATAAAAGTGATTTCCTTTCCTTAAAGTATTTAGCACATACAAATGTTTATGTGCACATAATATAGTCCTGCAAAACCAAGAGCATTGCTTAGCCCTATAATACACTTAAACTCAGCTACATGTCAGTATGAGGACTAGTCAGATTGAAAAGCAAATTATGTAAAATGAAGGCTTCACTGTTCATAAGTGACTTTTTTTCAGTACTTTTGAGAATTACAACCTAATATATTTTTTAAAAAAGAAAAATAATCAAAGGTCACCAATGGTGATATAAAAAACATAATTCAGTGAACTTTTGATTTGTTTGTTGAGAAATAAAATATTGTTTTTTTTATTGACATGTAAAGCGTTTTGTTTTTATTAATTATTATTAAAGAACACTTTCTGTCATGTTCAGATGTGTTTTTAATTAAATTTTTGTGCTATTCACAATGTTTTTTTAATTTATTATATAAGCAATTTTACATTTTTGAGATTTTTGTTTCATATTAAAACTTTGTATTAGTTAGAGAAATAAAGATCTTATATAAATGCTTCAACAAACTAGACTTAAAAAAACAAAAAATGTTTGCCTTTGCCAAAATGTAATAAACACGATATACTCAAAGTATGTACAGTTGATATCAGATTTATTAAACCCCCTGTAAATATTTTCCAAATGATGTTTAACAGAGCAAGAGAATTTCCACAGTATGTCTGACATAATTTTTTCTTCTGGAGAAAGCCCTATTTGTTTTATAAATCGGCTAGAATAAAAGCAGATTTAAAATATTTTAAGGACCAAGCCCAAAAAAAGATTGATTGATTGATTGATTGATTGATTGATTGATTGATTGATTGATTGATTGCGGCATTCATTTTTAGCTCCACTTATGAAAAACTGTCTGATTTTAGAATTGAAATGTGAATATTCATCCTATGAACCAGACTCGTTACTTTTTAAAGTATGTTATATAAACTCAATGAATAAACTGCCGTAGACCAACCATAGACTTAGGTGGTTGTCATAAATTGTAGACTTAAGTGACTGAGGGAGCACTTTGATCGTCATAGTTGCATAAAATATTCATCAGGCATAGATATAAATAGCATCAGATGCTTGTGAGCTGTGAATGTGTTTGTAATTTATCATTTAATAGAATATTTGTATTTATTAGAAGGGTTTTTAAAGTTGTATGTTGTCTTTTGTTGGTATTGATGTACAGAGGATCTCTTTTTTTAAAAACAAATTTGTCCCAAGGGAGTCAACAAATTTAAAGAGTATCATAAGTGTATGAACCACATCTGTAAATAAAACTAAATGTTTGATTTTATCTTATATCAGCTTTTTTAGTTGTATAGTGAATGTTTGTTTTGGGGTGGATTGACCATAAAATAAAACACATACAGTTTTTTACAAGTGGATGGTATAAGTGAACCAAAAGAAAACGCATAATGTTTTCATTTTACCATGCAGGTCTGCCAGTTATGTAACTCATCGGCCCATCACAGCTCAACTCACTCCTTCAGGCACATGCTTTCTTTGCATGGGGTATTTATTTGTGTGTATGTGTGTGTGTGTGTGTGTGAGCGAGGTGTTCACATGTGGGGACAAAATGTCTCACAAGAATAATACCAAACATTTTTTTTTATCTTATAGGATTGTTTTGTTAATCCCAGTGAAATAAACAGCGTGTAATTATTCTAAAAAAAAAAAAAGGAAAGTCCTCATAAAACATTGAAAAATTGAAGTGTTTATGTGTGTCTCTTGTATTCCTGTTGTTGTGGGGACCACATATCCCTTACAATAGCAATACCAGTAAATTTGAACCCTGTTGGTACTTTTTTTTGGTCCCTATATCGAAAATTGCTTATAATTCACACGGAATTAAGTATTTTAAAAAATAAAAATGCTGATTGTTTCCTGTGAGGTTTTGGGATTAAGTGGGATCTGTACAGTTAAAAACCTATTAAGTTAAGTGGTCCCCATAAAGATAGCTATACATGTGTGTGAAGACATTTGTAAAATTAATTAAATAAGACTTATTGTAAAGATTTTGAATTTTCTAATAGTTAAGGCTTTATAATATTATACACATCCATATAAAATAGAATAATCAATGTCAACATAGCTGTTTAAATAGTTCTGCGAACCAAATGTCAATGTATGTATTGATGTATCTCAAAAACATGACATTTTGTGACATTTAGTCTGCTTTTGGTATAGCAAAAAAGACTTCTAAATCAGCCAAAACATGCCTTTATTTAAATATTTTTTGCACAAGTTTCTGTGAGAAAATACAGGTAACCTGTTATTAAAGCAACAGAAATTTATTCAATATCCTCACACAATAGTGAAGCAAACATATGTATAATGGGGGCTTAATTGAAGAAAGAGAGCAAAAATATGTGTATCCAAGTCTGGAAATGTTGTGTATACAGTAGGCTATATCATGTGTTTAAAAACCCTTAGAACAGTCACATTTGTCCTAAAAACTCAATTATTTAACAGCAGCCTGTTAAATAATTGATTAGTTAATAACTTTTTTTTTATTTCTTGCACGTATTTGCACATTTCTGGATTGTTTTATATTTAGGGTATTTGTACACTGGAAAAAATCATGTGTGCAAAATTGTTGCAAACATGTTATGTGTTGAATGTAAACAAACGAATTAAATGTAATAATATTCAACTTAATTTGTTAAAATTCAGGCCAAATAAATGGTTTACAACCACTTAACTAAAAAAAAATTTATAAATCCAAGGAATCATCTTTGAATCATTGTTTTCAGCGTGTAGGGTAAAAATGTATTTATAAATTCATTTAAAATATATTTGAAATATGGTTAACATTTGAACATGTTTGATCCACTTTAAATGTTGACCACTGTATATAATCTCCGTATATTTCAGTCACATTCAAGAGTAACATTAAGAAAATCTTTATTTGCACATCAACCAATCAGCATGCTTAAAATATCATTGAAATGATCATAATAATTTCAGATTAACATTAAAACATATATCCTATTTTATGAGAATACTGTAAATTAAAATATACCTTTTACGCTTTAAAAACACGTTTACCTTCCTTTTTTCGAACCATTTTGAATCTCTTGTGTGTGTGGAATAGCGTTAAACGTGACTTGTGCTGACAGACTAAAGTAATAATGTTACGCAACCTTGCAAAGAGCTGCGGGCTCTGCCCACTTCATGTCATGATGATCATGTAGACTGATGCTGAGGAGCGTGGACTGCGCTGCAAACCCCCTTCCCGCTATAGGCAGACACAGTAATGAAAAAAAGTCAACACGCCTTTAAATAGAAGCATATTGTCATCCTGACTGCTGTTACCAGGCTCGAGAGAAGCGACGGATCCGCTCATAATCTATTGCCTCACTGCGAGACCGAAGAAACAGACTTTAAATTCTTTCATTCCTCACACACTTGCAAACAACAACAGTAAACATGCCGAGCAAGAGAAAGAAGAACAAGCGCCGAATGAGAAGAGTGGTGAGTACTTTTACTTGCACACTAGTTTTTATTAATAGTTAGTATCTCATATACCTCTTATTAGAATATCATTATTAGATTATTTTTGTATCCCATTTTATTGTTCTCTAGGCTTTACATGAGTTTTATATATTTATAAAAATAATGCACTTTAGTATTTTTTCAATAATGTTATTTATTTGTTTATTACTTGGTTTAATACTTAATATTATGTAATCTGTTATTTTGGCTATATCTGTCAGTTAGGCTACATTTAGTGAGCTGCCTTAATAGAGATGTGCAATTTTCCGTTCTCTGAATGTTAATTTATTTCAGCATGAAGAATAAATTAATGATGGCATATTTAAAGGGAAACGACGAACAACGGAAGCTAAATAGTAGGGGGTGTGTCCAAAAATAATGTTGAATTACATCTATGTAGCCTGCCTGTATATCCAGTAAGATTTTGATTTTAAAATAATACATTAATGAAATTTATTTTAGAGGGGAAATTTAATTTATTGTAGGGAATATAAATGTTCAGTGTAAACGTTTTATTTATTTATTGCTTATTTATGTTTATTATTGCCCTTTTATTTTGTTTGTTTTGTCTTTACTTATAGTCAGGGACGGACTTAGTGATTTGGGAGTCCTAATTCCAGGTTTGGGGCACAAGCATTAAAACTCAAAACAAACTCTTTCTCTATAGATTTTTTTTTCTTTGTGATTTTATTTTATTTTTTTGTAAATAAACTGCATGTTTAAAATATATTTGACTGAAACCTTTGTCTTCTTAATGTAAAATTAATTACAATAAATTCACATACAAAAAGCAAGCTCACAAACTATGTAGAGATAATTAGTCATGTTTGTTATTCGATTTTTAGTATTTGCTTGTGCAATAGGAACGTTCTACTATTCATGGGGGCTCTTGGTTTTGAAAAAAGTAATAAACTTAAAAATCTTAATATTTATAGACAGATTTTACAACATATGATAGAACTTTTATAAAGGAGCTATAATTTATCTATTAATTTAGGCTACTTGGCATTGGTAGGGGCCTCTTACTTCCCTAGGACCCTAATCGGCTGCTTACCTTGTTTACTGTTTAAGTCCACCCCTGCTTATAGTTGATCGTTACTTGCAGCTTTATTGATTTATTCATAATTGTTAAATTAACAACACTATTTAAAAGGGTTTCATGATTTGAACAAAAATAAATAATTATTAGGGCTTGTTTATTTTCAGTTTTCTGACAATATTAAATTTGTTCTTCACTCTTAAAGAGGGTTTTTAGAATCTTTATTGGCATTCCATGGAACATTTCCATTGGTTCCTCCAAGGCATCCGTGCAAAAACCCCTATTTTGGAGCCTTTACTTTCAACAGTTGTGAAAAATACTTATTTAACTATTTAAAATGTGCTTTGCATGACTAAAATTATGGTTCCATTAAGAACTGTTTACTCAAAGACTCTTTTGTGAAGTATTGTGTTTTAATAATGAATCTGTTTTTGTATTTTCCATGGGTGTGTTTCACCTATCGAGTGTGGTTGTTTTGCTTCATGCCCCTTTTTCTTTGTTCGGTCAATACAACAAACCAGATCATGCCCTTTGCCAACGCCCCCTATAACACATATGGACTTTGTTGATTCTGGCACATCCCTTAGGCCAGCAGTTTGATTCCAAACATGGTTGAAGGCACATTCTTTCAGAGGCAGTTAGCTGAGAGACCACCAGAAAAACTTTTGCATTCATTGGTTTCCTCTACACTTTCCTAATAAATGTATTTTTTTAGTCAATTGCGATGGAATGTTGCCCTATAT